AACTGCTGGCTTAACTCTCTACTCCAGTGTTTTTCAGTCACCAATTTAGGGGACATAACGGCTAAGGATGATACGGCTCTCAGCCCACTCCTTTTTTCTTACCTGGCTTCTTTTTTTAATAAACTGAAGAGAAGCGATGATAAAGGAACACCATTGGATCCTTCACTGCTAATTGGGAAATTACATACAGAGGGTCTKAGAAAGGGGCAACAGCAAGACGTACATGAAGCTTTCTCTAAAATATYGGAAGTTTGCTATTGTGACCTTGGTGGTGCACCAATCCCTTCCTTTTCTACGTTTTGGGGAACAGTTACGTACAAAAACWCCTGTTTGGCATGTGGCAACGAACGTGACGGTATGGCGGATTCTTTTCACTCTCTCGCTGTGGAATTGCCACGAAATGGGCAACAGATTTCGATATTTGATTGTTTAAAAGAGTATTTCAARGAGGAAGCATTAACGGGAGAGAATAAATTAGAATGTGGATCCTGTCAGTGCAAAACCAATCAAACTCGGCAGGGATTCTTGGAAAATCCTCCACGTAACATAGTTTGTGTTATCAATCGTAAAGATCCAACTGGAAATAAAAAAGATCATTCTCCTGTACGGCTAGATCTACAGATGGATGTTTCACAAGTCCAACCCAGTCCATCCGAGCCTTTAGAATACAAGCTACTTGCTGCCATTTTGCACAAAGGTCAAATGCTGAATTCAGGACATTATGTAGCACTCAAAATACTTCCAGAACTTGATACTGTTCTRGTGTTCGACGACGAAAAGGTCGAGCGGAGAAGTTTAGACTTTCTTTCAAAGAGGTCCACAAAAAAAGAAATTTATATGGCATTTTATGTTAAGATTGGTGGTAATTCCGAGACCTGTTCTAACAATGAACTTGCAAAAACTGTTGATTCATCTTATGATAGTAGTCCTCTTTTAAAAAMTAACGGTATAGCCATGTCAAGTCCTAATGCAGATCATGATGATGTGCCTAGTATCGAAGTGGAAGAATCTGATTTTGATCAACAGAGTATGGACGAGAAACCTACAGAAGCTAACCTGGAATCACAGGCGCCTATTCAAACATATCAAGCACTTGATATAACCAACAAGGAAAAAGCAGTGGGGAKGGTGAGAKCGTTGAAAATATACGGATGYGACCTGAAAACGTTGGAATACCCTTTAACAAATGACTCTTATTTAATTGATAAACCAGGTGAACTAAATGATACAATTATATTGGCATATCTTCATTTAATCGAGGACGCATTGGCCTTGCAGGASAGAAATTGCGTAATCTACGACACAAACTTTTTGTCACGCCTATCCGATGTGCTTGGCAACACCACAGAAGCCAAAGCGGAGCTATTTCTATCTCTATGTAAGTCATTCCGGCGTAAGCTGGATTTAACAGCACTTGATTACATTATCATTCCTATTTATAGATTCGCTGCGCGACACTGGGTTGTTGCCATCGTTGATATCGACAAGCAAGTAATCATAATGTATGATCCATTGCCCGATCATCAAGAAGAGCAGTGTCMAAAGGAGGCCAAGATGATCAAGTGCTATCTTAAAGGAGTCGCTGTTGTTAGAGGATATTGTGACTTCTTTGATGAATATGAAATCTCAGTGGACAGTCAATACCCAAAGCAAGATGACAGTGTTAGTTGTGGTGTTTACTGCTTAGAATTTGTCAAAAAATTAACCCTTGACTTAGCTGCTCATAACCTTGACCGCGCATCGATGATTGCAGAAATTTTAAACGGTAGTCTTCATCRCAACTTTATTCCGTCCACTGGTTACTTGAGAATCGAGGTTGACTTACCAGAAAGAAGGCTGTGTGAACGGGGATCGAACTGTACCTTTCGTGTGCTTGCAAAAGGACATGGTGCATTGACATACATATGGAAAATACAAACACCAGATGGCGACCTAGTAACCCTGAAGGAGAAGAGAAGTATGCTAATAATAACTGTGGACATCGCCAACCAAGGTTCTTACTATTGCGAGATCACAGATCAATCAGGGGAGACTGTTACAACAAAGGCCTGCAAACTAACAGCCATGGAGTCAAGTCGTTCAGTTATGGATCGGGT